GTTCCTTCTTCTTCTTCTTCTTCTTGGCGTTCATCGGCTCTAACCTCCAACGGAATATTCTTATTGTTCGTCCACTTCTGCACTTTGGTCTCGTTTTAAAACTTGAGTGTTGCGTGCACATCACATTTCCGGATCGTCCACTTCTGCACTTTGGTCTCGTTTTAAAACTTGAGTGTTGCGTGCACATACCATTTCAGGATCTAACTTAGTTTATTAAGACTGTTGGTTCCTTTCCTCTCAGATAAATGTACTCCGACGTCGAAGGAAACCCCTAATTTGTTGAATCTTACGCCATACTTGTTAGAAAGAAAGTGGGTCTATTCCTTTTTCCACCGCCCCCACAATGGGACCCCGGAACTCATACGGGAGTTCTAAATATACTATCGGCTTACACTCTAAAATTTTCTGACCCTCCTGCCATGAGCGCCAAATACCCTAAGCCATCCTCTATGACAACCGCCTTGTCCTCAACTGGGAGGCAACTTCGCCTGTGTTTTGATCCGGGTATCTGTTAGTGTTTAACTTTTCACCACATTTGACAAGGTTCATTACTTGTGGCTTTCATAGCTCATTGTATGAGTTTATGACCTAAGTTAAAAGATGAAGACATAGACGATTGAGTGTTGTATGGAGGATCCGAGCGTTGAGAATGTGGATGTAAGTAAAGGTATGTAGCTGTGAACGAACTAAACGGTTTGTTTGTTTGTTTTAGTATCCAGAAGCCATGAGTTGTTAACCCTTAAGCTCGGTATTATGGATATCGCTACCCTTTGGCCTTGATTCCATAATAAATACCGTAAATCTGGGAGAAATGTGGCTTTTCTGCCTACCCCCGGTAGTGAACCTGGACCACAAGGAGTCACCCGGTCACCAGGCAATCCGGTTTAGGGAACTACGCTAGAGAGCCGGACGAACTAAACGGTACATACCATAGCAGCCTGGAGGGAAAACCATGCAACGATCCGCATGCACTAATTATGTCAGTGTCACTATGATAAGACACTTGGGGTTAAACGGAGATACTCCACTTCATTTCAACGAGAATAATCCCGTCTGATTTGATTTCTTGTCTGAGTGTTCTAGCATCCGTAGAGCGCCGTTCATCATCACGAAAATCGTAGATATAGCAAAATCTACAGGTGGACCGATGTAGGAAGTCCAAAGTTAACTCAACGACTTCAGAAACGAGGGGAAAAGTGTAACAGACTCCCAAAGGAAGAGGATTTGTGGCCAGTGATTCTAAAGATCAGCATCATCGGCTGTAGTTGTCTTTTGTTGTCTTTCTTTAACGTGACAAATCCGCGGAGACTTCTTATAATCAGTGCCATCTGGTGGTGGTTGTCAAGCCTATCCAGAGCCTTCTGTACTGTGTGCTGTCAGTCATTTCTGAAACTGTTATTCTTCGATGCGATGAAGCATTTATGTGTAGCATCTTGTCAAATTATCTCCGCCAGTGTCTCTCCCCATTAAGATCATTGCTGTCACACCGTGATGCGGTGTTTCTTCTTTTATGACCTTTCCAGATAATGTGGCCCCTACCATAGATACATCGAGCTGTTGTAGAGTTTAACCTGTGGCCCCTACCATAGATACATCGAGCTGTTGTAGAGTTTAACCTGTGGCCCCTACCATAGATACATCGAGCTGTTGTAGAGTTTAACCTGTGGCCCCTACCATAGATACATCGAGCTGTTGTAGAGTTTAATCATCATCTTTCAATTTTGTTCTTGGTCTACCAGTTGCTCTACGTCTCTCTCCTCTTTCGGTGTTTGTCTTGTGTGGTATAGCTCCACAAGGCATTTTACTTAAGTAAGTGGAGCTGATTTTATGCCAAAGTTTTCTTTTATGACCTCATTCCTGATTTTATCTCCAACTATTTTCTCTTCGTGTTTATGTTTGTTGCGAGTTATCATTTATTCTAGGTGCAAACTTGTATTTCGCATTTCTGCTTCATAGTCCTTTACAATTAATTACCATGGTCGAATGTCGCTTTATCAGTTTGTTTATTATATCTCCTTGTTGTCTATGTAAAGGACCGTTTGCCGCACCTTCAGGCGTAATGGAAATTTAAAATTAGACCTATATTTTATTGAAGAATCGGCACTCGGTGGGGGATGTGGTCAACATCACTCCGGCCTCCTTTTCTTTCCAAAACTTTTTTCCTCTTCCCCCTTTTTTCCAGGACTCAAAAGATAAGCGTTACCCGTACAGAGCATTCGAACCTTGGTCTCCTGTGTAAGTGCCAGCGTTCTTAATCGTTCGGCCTCCAAGTGTAGGTTCTGGGGCCCTATTATTGATAAACAAGAAAAGACCCACCATAGACCCACCATCTCACCAGAAAGCATGTCATAAGAGTCGACTAATTGTGAGTTTCCTTCGAAGATTGTATCTGTCTGAGATGCAAAGGATCAACAGTCTGCAGACAAATAAGCCAGATCTGTATAACGGATATGCACGCAATACTCAGATTCTTGAAAAAGAGTAAACTCCAGAAGTGGATTGTCAACTAGAACTTTCCATCGGAGTTTACAGACGGTGAACGCGAAGAAGAAGACGAGGAAGAATTGCTCGACCAGCCGCTCAGATACAAGGTATACTCATGTGAAAATTGGTGATGTTATCTGACTGTTCTTTGTGTTATTGCACCGTCTACTGAGCTCTCAAATAAAGTGACAATGAAGCAGGCAATTTCAACTGTAGCAGGGAAACATGATAAACTGCAGAAGCCGTTAAATACAGCGGTATGTTCAGTCTTTCTATTCCAGACAAAGGAAATGCGACCCCAACATTTTTTTGTGTGTGTGTGTGTGTGTGGGGGGGGGGGGTTTCTCTGGGCGTCGTCCAGTCTTTTGTGGAAACATAAGTAAGATCATGGTACCTCTGATTCAGGCCTGAAGTGTGGCCATTTTTCGTCCTCACTATCCTATCCGAAAAAGGATATGAGGTCTTGCCACTTGTTCTCATCCGAAATCAAAGTCCACTTATTAATTACTCATGGTTTTTCTACCTTCCGATACCAGAATTTTCTCTGTCGAGCCGTTTGTAGTTGCCCGATGTGATGTCGTTAAGCTTTGACTCCTCGTGTTATGCTTTTCGTAAGTAAAAGTAAAGGACCATTTTCCACGCCTTTAGGCGCATAGGGCATGTAAGGCTAGACCTATATTTTTATAGACCAATCATCACAAGATGGGTGATGTGGTCAGCATCACGCCGGCCGCCTTTACTTCCCGAGACTGAACCCGGTACCCACTCAAGGCTGGGTCGACCTCGGAGCCAAGGTCACTTTTGAAAAAAGTCCGGCTCCGCCAGGGAGCGAACCCACGACCTTCCGATCCGCGGCAAGTGTCTAGCCGCTCCGCCACGGGGACTCCCTATGTTTTTCAATCTTGACGCAATATGATCTCCTGCTGGTGTAGAATAAATCAAAAATTACTTATAATGATAACATTACACATCATTTGAACTATATTTGCCTTTTAACTACCTTGTCCTGTCATCTTTGCTAGTATAATTATCATCGATATGATGTTGTGTTGTTATGTATCACATAGGACTTGCAGTCTATTTCTGAATTCCGTTCTGTTCTACACAATCCTTTCGATCTCCAGTCCAGCACCTTTGGCCTCTATCATCATTATTTGTAGCAAGGGTTTCCCTTGGACGTTTGCATTTCTTCAGTCCATTTATGTCCCATTCCAGTGCCTGTTTAGAGATTCTCTGCTCGTTTCTTCTAATCATGTGCTATATAATCGTCATCTGCTTTGTCTTGTAACTGTTAGCACTAGCTGTTTTCCAGACACTGCTCTTATTTCTTCACCATTTTAATCGATCCAGTTTAATGTTTGTCAGTTTCCACATCTTTTTTTTTTTTCCATTTATTTTGTAGTTCTCCAACTTTTACTGGCTTGTGATGAAAATGAAACTAAACTTGAAATAAATAAGTAGGTAGCTTGGATTTAAAACTATACAATTTACAGTTTCATAGTTTGTTCAGGCTTGTTAAAGCTGCTGTTACTTTGCCAAATATAATATAATAACATATACTTTATGTACACGTATACTATTAATTAAGAAATATGATAACAGCTTCAGACTAGAATACTCTATTCGAGGAATGTTATAGAATATATAAGAGAATATGTTATGATAGTCAATCAAATAGGTAATCTGGCCAAGCACTGAAATAACAAATGCTGTACATAGTTCATATGTATGGATTATCTTTGTTCCAGTCCACGATTATATCTTTGTGAATAAGATATTGTCATTTATTTCAATCCGTATATTTTAACCAGTAAGGAAAGTATCGCCGCGACAAATTATTGTTCTGATTCGGGTTCACATACTGCCGATGAACTTAACAAATTGCCAGGATACCGTTTTCACTATTGTATCGAGGCCATGTGGTTTCACCTGAGCTGTCGCTTTTATCTACATTTAGAAAAGTCCAAATGCTCCGATACAATGGATGTCTTCAAAGCCGAGAGCGGATATGATCAACGCTGTACGAACTTGGCTAGTGGATAAAGACGAGTCTGTCGATAACCCGACTACATAACATGGGAATAAACCTAGCAAAGCACGTCTGTTCTGTCATCTAGGTCAAGAAAGGAACAGTTTGATTTGAAGATTTAGGATATAATCAACTTCGTATGGGAACAGTCATTAGACGTACCTTTGAATGGCTCCTGCAGCGGTGGACAGAGCCTGCATTGGAATACTAAATGTGCTATGACGTCAATCCTGATAACATAGCAAAACATAAAGGGATTTCTTTTAATGCTCAGGAGTTTTAAATGTGCAAGAAAGTTACCGTTTATAAATCTTGACCATGGCTTTGGAATAAAGTACTAAAAAGTGTGGTCTTAGATTTTTAACAAGAATGAAGACAAAAAGGAATAAATGATTCACAGTTGACCAACCAGATATATGTCTAAGATCATCCAATTGTTTGTGTGCGATCATTCACGAGCTAGCTTGTTGTCTATGCGGCTATCTCAATGTTGGCTCGAACCGGCACCATCATCAGAAAACAGCGACGTCGTTCTAGCGCTACCAGTAGAACTAGCAGCAGACGGGAGTCGGCGACCACCCCAACTCCCTCAATCTGCCCGACCCCGTCACCGTCCGCTAGTTACAACACTTACAATCATGGAGGGAATTTCTTACAATATCATCATTCTTCCGAGTTGTTTGCCTCGTCGCCTTTCTCAACCCCTGACCCCTCACCTGTATCACTTGGTGGGGTCAAGGATTTCAAGTTCAGTTTTGATGTTACTGGAGTCAAAAGTCATCTAACGCTTAGCAAGGTCAGTAAGTAATTTTTTTTAGCTTCAGTTTTTCTTTTCTTTTTATTCATATTTTTCATGCGTCCCAGGTCACAAACTTACTTGATTTTTGTAGATTTATTATTATTTTTTTCCCACCAATTGTCCGTTAAATTGTTTCATTATAGTCCATACATTTACATACGTTTTCTGTAGTCCATACATTTACATAGGTTTTCTGTAGTCCTTACATTTACATAAGTTTTCTGTAGTCCATACATTTACATAAGTCTTCTGTAGTCCTTACATTTACGTAGGTTTTCTGTAGTCCATACATTTACATCAGTTTTCTGTAGTCCATACATTTACATAAGTTTTCTGTAGTCCTTACATTTACATAAGTTTTCTGTAGTCCTTACATTTACATAAGTTTTCTATAGTCCATACATTTACATAAGTTTTCTATAGTCCATACATTTACATAAGTTTTCTGTAAACAATACATTTACATAAGTTTTCTGTAGCCCTTACATTTACAAAAGTTTTAGGTAGTCTATACATTTACATACGTTTTCTGTAGTCCTTACATTTACATAATTTTTCTGTCGACCTTACATTTACATAAGTTTTCTGTATTCCTTACATTTTCATAAGTTTTCTGTAAGCCATACATTTACATAAGTTTTAGGTAGTCCATACATTTACATAAGTTTTCTGTAGTCCATACATTGACATACGTTTTCTGAAGTCCTTACATTGACATAAGTTTTCTGTAGTCCTTACATTGACATAAGTTTTCTGTAGTCCTTACATTGACATACGTTTTCTGTAGTCCTTACATTGACATACGTTTTCCGTAGTCCATACATTTACATAAGTTTTCTGTAGTCCATACATTTACATAAGTTTTCTGTAGTCCATACATTTATATAAGTTTTCTGTAGTCCATACATTTACATAGGTTTTCTGTAGTCCATACATTTACATAGGTTTTCTGTAGTCCATACATTTATATAAGTTTTCTGTAGTCCATACATTTATATAAGTTTTCTGTAGTCCATACATTTACATAAGTTTTCTGTAGTCCTTACATTTACATAAGTTTTCTGTAGTCCATAAATTTATATAAGTTTTCTGTAGTCCATACATTTACATAGGTTTTCTGTAGTCCATACATTTACATAGGTTTTCTGTAGTCCATACATTTACATAAGTTTTCTGTAGTCCTTACATTTACATAAGTTTTCTGTAGTCCATACATTTACATATGTTTTCTGTAGTCCTTACATTTACATAAGTTTTCTGTAGTCCTTACATTTACATAGGTTTTCTGTAGTCCATACATTTACATAAGTTTTCTGTAGTCCTTACATTTACATAAGTTTTCTGTAATCCTTACATTTACATAAGTTTTCTGTAGTCCTTACATTTACATAGGTTTTCTGTAGTCCATACATTTACATAAGTTCTCTATAGTCCATACATTTACATAAGTTTTCTGTAAACAATACATTTACATAAGTTTTCTGTAGTCCTTACATTTACATAAGGTTTCTGTAGTCCTTACATTTACATACGTTTTCTGTAGTCCTTACATTTACATAAGTTTTCTGTAGTCCATACATTTACATAAGTTTTCTGTAGTCCATACATTGACATACGTTTTCTGTAGTCCTTCAATTGACATACGTTTTCTGTAGTCCTTACATTGACATACGTTTTCTGTAGTCCTTACATTGACATACGTTTTATGTAGAGCTTACATTGACATACGTTTTCTGTAGTCCCTACATTGACATAAGTTTTCTGTAGTCCATACAATTACATAAGTTTTCTGTAGTCCTTACATTTACATAAGTTTTCTGTTGTCCATACATTTACATAAGTTTTCTGTAGTCCTTACATTTACATAAGTTCTCTATAGTCCATACATTTACTTAAGTTTTCTGTAGTCCTTACATTTACAAAAGTTTTAGGTAGTCTATACATTTACATAAGTTTTCTGTCGACCTTAAATTTACATAAGTTTTCTGTATTCCTTACATTTACATAAGTTTTCTGTAATCCTTACATTTACATAAGTGTTCTGTAGCCCTTACATTTACATAAGTTTTAGGTAGTCCATACATTTACATAAGTTTTCTTCAGTCCTTACATTTACATAAGTTTTCCTATTCCTTACATTTACATAAGTTTTCTGTATTCCTTACATTTTCATAGGTTTTCTTATTCCTTACATTTACATAAGTTTTCTACAGTCCATACATTTACATACGTTTTCTGTAACCCTTACATTTACATAAGTTTTCTGTAGTCCTTACATTTACATAAGTTTTCTGTAGTCCATACATTTACATAAGTTTTCTGTAGTCCATACATTTACATAAGTTTTCTGTAGTCCATACATTTACATAGGTTTTCTGTAGTCCTTACATTGACATAAGTTTTCTGTAGTCCTTGCATTACCATACGTTTTCTGTAGTCCTTACATTGACATACATTTTCTGTAGTCCTTACATTGACATACGTTTTCTGTAGTCCTTACATTGACATACGTTTTCTGTAGTCCCTACATTGACATAAGTTTTCTGTAGTCCTTACATTTACATAAGTTTTCTGTAGTCCATACTTTTACATAAGTTTTAGGTAGTCCATACAATTACATAAGTTTTCTGTAGTCCTTACATTTACATAAGTTTTCTGTTGTCCATACATTTACATAAGTTTTCTGTAGTCCATACATTTACTTAAGTTTTCTGTAGTCCATACATTTACATAAGTTTTCTGTAGTCCTTACATTTACATAAGTTTTCTGTAGCCCTTACATTTCTTACTGGCACTTACCCGTCTTTCCTGACAATAGTTTTATATTGTGCTGTAGTGATACATGGAAATCACAACCCATGGCGATGGTGAGTGCGACTGGTTAGACCCTTGGGTTCTCGTGACTAGTGCTGCTGTCACATGTATTTAATGCACTTTTTCTCAGATGCAACAATAATGAGCAGATTAACAAAAAGAGTTTAGGAGAACAGAAAACTTAGGATTAAAACAAAAACTCTGCTTTATGTTAGTGGAACGGTCACCCTATTTGCACCAGGAGAGACGGCTAAACAGATTTCACATATGACACCTAAGAAGAATACTTGGCATTAAGTGGTAAAACAAGATGACAAACACTGTGGTATTGGAAAGAGCAGGTACTACAACAGTCTTCTCATCGCTTAGTCGACGAAGGCTCAGGTGGCTGGGTTACACCTGGAGAACGGATGATGGCAGAGTCCCTTTGGACATCCTTAATGATGAAATAACGACGAGTAGAAGATGTCAATGACGACTTCTACTACGATATAAAGATGTGTGCAACAGGGACATGAATGATACGGGTACTGAGGTTGACTCGTGGGAATGAAATGCCATGGACCGTGTTGTATAGAGGGGGTACATCAGAAAGGGAATGAGATTGAAGGAAGAAATGACTGTAGAAAGGATGAGAGCTGAGTGTCTGAGAAGAAACAGACTAAACACAAATGTTGCCAACAAAGGTCCTGAAATCCCATGCTATAATTGTAGAAGACTTGTCCTAACTCGGACGGCTCATCTTAGTCATACTCGCCATCGCCCTGGACTGTAAGTCTCATGCCTCCTTGTAGCGCAATATAGCACTATCGTCTGGAAAGACGGAAAGGTGCCAGTAATCTCTGATGCTCGGATCTTAATCTAGCTGCAATCATTTCGTCCTTTCCATTTTCTCCCATGAAGATGTTTCCCTCTTTGTGCCGCACGGTCCGTTGAATTTTGCTCTAACGAATCCACTTCAGTATCCACAAGAACTGATGTTCCGCTTGCACATATCTTTGTATGGTGGTAAAGGCCGACTTCTACATTTTCTACCCATTGATTTACCGCAGAAGAAGCCTTTTAGGGACTTTACCATCCTCACAAGTGTGACCCAGCCATATAATCCTCCGAAGACTGAGCATTGAGGTAAGTGTTGTAGTACCTACTCTTTCCAATACCTCCCTGTTTATGGTCTTGTCTTGCCACTTAATGCCAAGAATTCTTCATAGCCATCGCATATGAAAGCTGTTAAGTCGTTTCTCTTATTACAAACAAATGGACCATATTTCATCACAGCAGAGAAGAGTGCTGAACATTCAAGCCTGATAAACAAAAGGTTTTTTTTAAGCTTTCTGTTCTTCATAACTCTTTTATTTTATACTGTTTGTATTGCCTTAATTATTTGTTATTGATATGTGAATTCCGGGTACATAAAATGGTCATCTGTTTCCTGCTTAATAGCACTCTGCACCATATATCTGTCACACATTTGCAAACGTAACCATTCAATTGTAGTCCATTCATTTCTACAGGTAAAAAAAAAACATTATAATGTACAGATGCTTTACACAATAGTGGTTATATTGTAGACCAAACCTTAACTGACTGACTGACTTTCTATCCCACCGGACATCACACAAGCGATAAACACCCGATGACACAAAGTGCCACCATGCGGATGAAGATCACCGTGGAGAGGTCCCAGACACAGCGTTCAGCCTTTAGGCCATATTTATGGCCAGGCTATATTGCGGCCTCTGGAAAAAGCCAGAGTAGGGCTTCAAATAACGAAAAATTTCGTCTTAAAAAGGACGAGAAGTACCCCATAACCAAACCTTAGCACAATAATTTTTTTAACAATAATTATTATTTTAACCCTAATATTTACACACGAACAATCACATTGCATTATAACATTGCAGTATAACATTGCAGTATAACATTGCAGTATAACAATTACATTTAGTACAAATATTTTACACAAAAATCATGTTAGTGTAGCCCAAACATTTACACAAGTCTTTCATTTGTAGTCTGTATATTTTCGTAAACAACATAATTTTAATCAGCTTCCCAGATTTACAGCTAAAAATCGTTCCCTTAAGAAATGGAGAGAATGTCTACTATTGGAAATAATGGGGAAGATAACCCCAAGGGAAGCGAAACCGAAAATGTTCAAGAAACAGATGCATCACACAGACGTGAAAAAACATTAAAGCTTAGACTCACACAGAGCAGAAGAAAATTTACCATAATAAAGGATGGCGGGGTGATCTATAATAATAATGTTGGTGATGAAAAAGAGGAGGAAGATGTCGAAAAAAAATTGATTAAACTGATGGCAGTATTCTAACATGATCACGTGTATTCGTACTTATTCTAAGGAATGAACCATTCTTTGGTGATTATGTTGCGTGCATGCCCTCTTCAGAACCACACAAACCAGCTCCCTGAAGTATTTTCTGTCGCGTAGTTTGGCTAAGAAATTTTAAATTCAGTAGGCTCAAGAACGGCACGACACAAAACTCGTTGTTGAAAAAACCACAAACTAGTGTGATGCCAAACTGATTGCAACTGACTTAGAAACCCTGTATGCCAGATTTGCGAAACTGTGTTGTCACTTTCTAAGGCAGTGGTTCTAAACCTTACTAATGCCGCAACTCATTAATACAATTCCGCATGTTGTGCGACCCCCAATCAAACAATTATTTTCGTCGCTACTTTATAACTTCAGTGAATACGTGTTTTGCGATGGTCTTTGTTGAGCCCTGTAAAAAGGTCGTTCGACCCCCCCCCCCCCCCCCTTTTCCAAAGAAGGGTCGCTACCCATATGTTGAGAACCGTTGCTCTAAGGGTGCCCTGCCGACGACGATCTTCTTCTTGTATCTGAAAATTTTCTGTCAGAAAATTTATATCTAGAGGCCGGTAGTTGTTGGGAAAGTATCGTGCAGTCCATATCTTCTCGTGTACCCTACAGCTTTGTGTATTCGTCGTCGCTGGAACAGGCCAGATTGTATCTGTTTTCAGTAAACACATGAGTGTTGTGGAAAACATGCTCAGCATTTACGGGTACCTCGCGATGATTATCTCAAAGAAGAAGATGGCGGACATGATCTCATGACTGCACCGTCTGTCTTGGCGCTGTGCAGCAAGAGGAAAATAACCAGTAGTTGCCATTCAGACGCAGGAAGTAACCGAGAAGAGGGAATTCTGTTGCCATGATTTTTTTTATGGAAAGGTTCAAATTATTGTCACCAATCCAAGGGGTTTTCTATCTTACTCCGTGACAAGATTGTTCCGTGTTATTCAGTTAATCAGATTTTTTTTCACGATGAATTTAGGCTACAATCGATTTCCAACATACCCTTTCTTATTATAATTTTGTTGTTGTTGTTGTAGTCTCTAAAACTGCTTCCTGTTAATGCATCTCTTGAAGTTGTTCATTTTTTTATTTTACTGATTAGTAAGGACTGTCATTACATCACTTCCGGCAGATTAATAGGTGCTTCAGCGTCCTTCTCCATACCTACACGAGCGTAACACTACTGACAACGTCAGTTCGTTCCAAATTAACCACTTTTTGCGCTCTTTCTAAAATATTCATATCTTGCAGCTCCAGGTTGCACTTCCCTGTCCACCAGTCTGGACATAAAAACTAGTTCCTGTTTGTTGTAGTTATCTTTGCAATATGCATCTTGCATGACATTAATGACATCACTCCTATCCGGATTCAGACCAATCGTTGTAACTGCATTTTTCACCACATAATCTTTACTTTCGTTGATATGGAAAGCCCGCATCGAATGGAGTAGCAAGATATAGGATATTCGCGACGCGTTTAAGTAGAGAATCCATTCTTGTCTGAGGAAGCAGGTCTGTATATTTTTGAACATGTTTATTGTGTCGCTCTGTATGCACGCAAATGGGAACTCCCGAATACCCAGCTATGCATATTCAGTCATGGTTTGCCTTGTGAGGCTGCTGGTTGTAGCAAAAGCATTTGCTCATCCCCACGAGTCTATTCTAAGAGTTATCTCACCTAGCAATAGGTGTTTCGTCCTTCTTAGGACAAAATTTGTTGTCATTTGAAGCCCCACGCAATATAGACAGACCATAAATGTGGCCAATTGTCTGAACGCGGTTTCTGGGATCTCTCCACGGCGATCCTCATCCACATGGTGGCACATTGTGTCATCGGATGTTTATCGCTTGTGTGATGTCCTAGTCGGGTAGAAAGTCATTCAGTCAGTCAGTCTATTATAAGCGGCTTTTATCAAGTGTGAAATGGACCGTGATGCTGAAACTTGAAGCAATAAGCAGAGTCATTCGTTTATTTCCTCGACTGGTATCTGGAAGGCAACAAATACTGGATGGCATGCTCAGCACCACCCAACTACAAATCGTCTCTTTCAAGTCGTGCTTGAACACTTTACATTGAAGCCGGCGTCGAAGGTATTTTTATCTAGTGGAAAGCGGTCGCCCTGGAACAGTCTGTTTTTTTGTTTTTTTTTTGGGGGGGGGGGGGGTGTTTATTTTTTTTTTTTCACTGGAAAAGTCCTAAGGGTATCGCATCCAATGGCAGGAGGTTTCACCGGCGCACCCAAAAAAGAAGCACACATTGACTCGCTGCCATTTTATTTTTTAAATTTTGTTGTTTCTCCGTTTTGGGTTGAATGTCATGATCTCCAATGCATACTTACTGGTAAAGAAAACCAGTCGCCGATACAGCATTACAAGTTCTCGCTCTTCACGGTTTGTAGCAGCCATAGCATATATTGGTCATGATAACTATGGGATCTACTGCTTGTAAAATGTTAGACATATATAAAACCTTACAGCTAAGTGTTTCAGAGTCCGTCCCCTCGGCCTCCCTGTCATAGAGCCTGCAACTGGCGCTTGTGATTTGACAGTATGGTTATTCAGAGAGAGCCGGATGGCGTCGCTCTTTGCCTCTGAGATAATGCACCAGAATAATGTACGGTTCAAGTCCTTTTGAGGTCCAGAAGCAATGTAATTTCTATTCCTGGCCCTGTCGGTATGTGAGGATGTCATCTACCTGTCGTCATCTAGCATGTCCTTTAGGGAACGCAGCTTCATTGACAGCCAGACTAAAAGAAACTGGGTCCCTTGTCCGCTCTCCCTCCTGCCTTGTGTAGTTCTTACCACTGGTGTTGCTTATTTCCTACATCCACTTTAGTATTGCCTAAATTACCCTGAACCATGCCCTTCATTAGTGTTATGTACAAGCCGTTGCGACGTTTGTTATTGTAGAAGTATTGCGGTTTCCGATACAAAATGCTGATCGCTAAGTTTTTTTTTTTTTTTTTTTAATGTTTACACCTTTAGGAATGTCAATATTTCTTTTCGTTTTGTTTTTGGTCCGTGGTATTCTAAGAAACTTGATCCAGTATCTCAGTTTAAGAACGCTCATTTCCGTCCCTAATCGTCGCAAGACCGTCTTCAGTTCACGCACTTTATTTGCTCCGGGAAAGATGCATGTGCTCAAAATGCTGACTTTATCAGTGAATTGAATAGACTAGTTGTGTGAATAGACTGCGAAAATAAATGTTGTTTATGCTAACCGTACAAACATTTTGACATTATCCTGCGACGTATAGTCCAGCAAAACATTTCGGCAATCATTTCTTGTCGTCCCCGCTGAGAGCAGAACCCAATTCCCGCCAAGAGAAGGTCGCGTGTGAAAGTTGACGTCTGGTCAACTGTACTGTAGCAATCTGTGACACAGCCCGGACAATCTGTCTCTGTCGTCCTTCTGGGACTCATAGCTCACATTTCTGTCTTTCCTTTATTGTGTTTTGGACATGTGATCAGAATAGAGCATCAGAGTCAATTTGTGAATGCATTTTTCCGATTCTCGTTAAGTGTATACTTCCCCTGACTATTGGCTTTAAACGCACACGTTTTCTGATTATTTATTGTGCCCACAAATGATATCTCAATCAACGAATGGCGCGGGAAAGTGGAATATGTCGACCTACAGATACAAATATCACAGTTATTCTGTAAATAGACGCAGTAAACTACCTTCAACAAAAAGTACTTAATAAACGCGGCATATAGCTGTAGTAGTAGCTGTTGTAGTTATATAAGTTATAGCAGTAGTTATAATAGTAATAGCTAGAGTAATTGTAGTAGCAGCAGAAATAGTATTATTATTAGCATCCACTTAAGTAGTAGTAGCATTAGCAGTAGTAGTAGCAGCAGTAGTAGTAGCAGCAGAGTAGTAGTAGCAGTAGTAGAAGTAGTAGCAGCAGTAGTAGTAGTAGTAGTAGTAGTAGTAGTAGCAGTAGTAGTAGCAGTAGTGTAGGTAACCATCAGTCCCTGGGGACCATAGAGTTGTGACGCCGGTTTTTCGGAACAAGGTCTGCTTTGACTGTAAAGTCCAATGTGGAAATGACATTGTCTACCACATATTCCCCATAAATACATTGGTACTCTATCCTTCTGAGGCCAGGTTTTTCTCTCAGACGTCTCCTCTCTTTCAAAGTCGGACACTCCGTCTTTCTCTATCTGCCTTTAAAGGAGTTGGTCTGCAGCTGATCTCTCCTAAGTGTGTCAGCATCGATATCTTTCAGGTGGCGTTTACATATGTTCTTATAGCATAGCTTTAGTTTTCTTGCAGATCGTATCCCTGTTACCAGCTCCCCATAAAGGAGATCCTTTGGAATGCGGCCGTCCTCTATGCGAGAGACATGTAAAAACCCATTGCAGGAGTCATTGCTTTAGCAGTAGTAGTAGCAGCAGAAAAGCAGGGTTAGCAATAGCTTTGTCGTTCTAGTGGCAATAGAAACATCATCATTAGAAACGTTAGCAATATTAGCAGAAGCTCGCTAACAATAGCAGCAGCAGCAGCAGTAGCAGTAATAGTAGTAGTAGTAGTAGTAGTAGTAGTAGTAGTAGTAGTAGTAGTAGTAGTAGTAGTAGTAGTAGTAGTAGGAGTAGTAGTAGTAGTAGTAGTAGTAGTAGTAGTAGTAGTAGTAGTAGTAGTAGTAGTAGTAGTAGGAGTAGTAGTAGTAGTAGTAGTAGTAGTAGTAGTAGGAGTAGTAGTAGTAGTAGTAGTAGTAGTAGTAGTAGTAGTAGTAGTAGTAGTAGTAGTAGTAGTAGGAGGAGGAGGAGGAGGAGTAGTAGTAGTAGTAGTAGTAGTAGTAGTAGTAGTAGTAATATAAATATTATAGTAGTAGTTAATAGAGCAGCAGCAGCTGGGAACGAAGACGCCTTGCTCAGTTCAGTCCTCGAATGATTATCCTCTGTTTATAAACCCGGTTCTTGGAGTTGACACTAAAATATAACCCGTCAAGTAGCATCTTTTTACATGCACAAAATAACAAACACTTTCAAGGCTCAGGTTAATGTACTTGGCTATCACAAAACACTTCTCATATGGTGGGTTGGCTTCAATCCCAGTGGTGCCAGGTTGGCCTTTTTCATCAACTAGAACTTTTCTTTCGGCCGACTGCATATCATTAAAACAGTTACCAGATTTATGAAATTAAAAGTCTCTTTGATTGTTCTAATACTGACAGCATACGCTCCCATAAAGCGTTAAATGTAAAACCTGATAAGGAGATTAGTCGGTTGTTTTAATGCCTTTCTGATCGTTGGCTCATTATCATTTGTTCTATTACCCAGACAATGTTTGCCATTTATAGGTGTGCAATAATTTGCACATCATAGCGTTATGGTGCACACAGGGTAAGTTGGGGGAAGAAACAAAAAAAAAAGGGGGGGGGGGGAGGGCAGTTTAACCCATTGGTATGAATAAAAAGCATCTATGAGTAATAGTCGATAATGGATGTACTGCATTTCAAATACGTGCTGTTCACCCAAATAGAAGTCATCCTATCATTACTTTGTCTGACTGACTGTCGACGTGCGTTTGTGTCTGCATACCACGTAAAACTGGTCAACATGCCTGTCCACAACTATGTGTCTCCTGTCCTGGCAATAATTTGCATACACATATTCCACCATGTGTGTCTGTCCAGCTATCTGTTGGAGTCTGCTTGTTTGAACAATCATCAGGTCTTTGTTTCGTCTGCAGCTCACCCCACCGCCTTCAGACAAGCCCATCTACGAGAGTACAGTCATCTGGGCAGAAGTGGAGGACGCAGATCCTCACTATTCACTGCTGGGGAGTTTGTGTGAGGCCAGCATCGAAGCCAAACACCCTTGCGACTTTATACACAGGGCAATGTTTATCATTTGTGGAACATGTGAGTACGTTCTTCCATAACCACAATAACCTCTAGTGCAGTGAGAAATTGTTTCATTTAGGCTGAATAATGACTTGATACAAATGAAGCGTTACTGTATTCCCCTTTTCCTCCCCTCCTCCGTGCCATCCTCACCCTCCTCCTTCTCCTCCTCCACCTTCTTCTTGTTCTTCTTCTTTCTTCTTTCTACTTCTTCTTCTTCTTCTTCTTCTTCTTCTTCTTTCTTCTTCTTCTTCTTCTTCTTCTTCTTCTTCTTCTTCTTCTTCTTCTTCTTCTTCTTCTTCTTCTTCTTCTTCTTCTTAATTGTCTGCCACTTCTTCTACATTGTTGTGAAAGTCTTTTGATGTGGTCCTAAGAAACACACTATCGGCTTACGGTGTTTACTAAGAGCCCTACTTTATGCACAAGCTCATTGGCTTCAATGACAATTCTCCGGAAAACAAAAAAATTGTTCTAGCGAACCGAAGGACTAGTCCCCAGAACAAACCTACGATCTTCAGAGAACGGGGGAAAAACTGCTTCATCGCATCGCCACGGAAACGACCGCAGCCCCCCCCCCCAACCCCCCCCCCCTTTCCCCAAAACCCCCCCCCCCCACTTCTCCCCACCACCACTTTGCCAGCACACCCTTTTACAGATATGCTAACTTGTGTGCAGAATGTTGCTTCCTCGCCTCTTCAACAGATGCGCTCTGACTTCATCGTTCAGAACATGCTTCACAGATTTCAGTGTGTGTGTGACCACCCATTCCCTCCTAAAACATGGGACCACAAAAACCACAAGGGGAATTTAATCTCGTCTTTCTTTGATGTAGTAGTGGGACCATCCAGTCTATCAGAAGGGAACATGATCGGTCCAACGATGATTACCACCTATTTGTTTCAAGTCCTCATTCTTCACCTCGTAACAGGACACAGCCGATTTGAAATCATGCACATACTTCTTCTGAGTAGCTCACTGATGTGCTCATGGGGGCTAAGTGAACCGAAAACCTTGTCCTGAGAGTCAGTTTTACAGCCAGTTCAGAGAAAAATCCTGGCCTAATCAGTCATCCTCATAACTGGATGAAACTATTATTATGGCTTGGAGAAAATGAGGCACATTGGTGTAACGAGAGGGTCTGGCCGGCTCACTACACTCAGAGAAAAGGCAAAACGGACATAAAACCAGATTGTGACCGGTACCATCAGTATTGGAACTCTGCGCTATCTGTTGAAGATGAGGACGGAGCATGCATGGTAATGCCCCGAGTGCTGTGATGTCAATTTATGCAATTCTTGACTCAACCTAACTCAACTGTAAAGAACTTTAGAGGCACTGAAAAGAAAACTTTTTTTTTTTTTTTTTAGATTGAAAAAAAATAATTGTGTGTATCTATAAATGTATCTTTGTATGTGAGTAGAAATGTATGTATATATTTGTAAGTGTGTATGTGTGTTTACAAATATAGGCACTACTCTGAATAACGGTCCCAAATTATCTATGTCAAAATGGAACCATAAGGAGCCGCAGTAGTTGCTTCCGTTTGAGCTGCATCCATAACTCTTCAATTGTTTGGGTGTTAGGGTTGGGGTTAGGACTAACCCTTAGACGAAACCAAATTCATTAATATATATATATATATACATATATATATATATATATATATATATATATATATATATATATATACATACACACACACACACACACACACATATATATATATATATATATATATATATATATATATATATATATAGATATAGATATATATATACACATATATATATATATTATGTATATATGTATGTATGTATGTATGTATGTATGTATGTATGTATGTATGTATGTATGTATGTATGTATGTATGTATGTATGTATGTATGTATGTATGTATGTATGTATGTATGTATGTATGTATGTATGTATGTATGTATATATATATATATATATATATATATATATATACATAATATATATATGTATACACACCTATATATATATATATATATATATATATATATATATATATATACTTATATGTTTGTTTGTTTGTTTTAGTATCCAGAAGCCATGAGTTGTTAACCCTTAGGCTCGGTACTATGGATATCGCAACCTTTCGGCCTTGATTCCATTGTAAAAACCGTAAATCTGGGAGAAATGTGGCTTTTCTGCCAACTCCCTGGAGTGAACCCGGACCACAAGGAGTTCGTCACCTGGTCACCGCGCAATCCGGTTTAGCCAACTTCGCCGCTAGAGAGCCGGGCATATATATATATATATATATATATATATATATATATATATATATATATATATATATATATATATATATAAGTCGGCAGGTCTAACATCTACAGCTGTCAGTTCATCAATTGGTAGAACATTATTACTAATCTGTGTCGGAACTGATCCTAAAATCCTAATTTTACATATCCTTGAGGCCACCAAGTTAGGGAATCTTTTTAACCTCGATCATTTGGGACCGTTATTCGGATTAGTACCAAAATATGTATATATTATTTTATGTATGTATTATGTACGCGTGCATGTGTGCATTATGTATTTATTTATTATCTATGTAGTGGTGTAGCAAAGTCATGTCGTACCCATTGCAGATATTGTTTACATATTTTTATTTTATTTTGTATAAAAACACATATGTTTGCTATTTTGCTACCCCCCATGATGACACCCAGTACCGCCCGCTGCTTTTCCCCCACCTTCCTAAGGTAATGTATGTATGTAACTGTATTATGCAAGTGTGTGTTATGTATGTTTGTGTGTTTAGGGGAATGTAACATAGTTTACCGGCTCAGTTTAAACTCAGCTAACTTTGTTTCTCTCTATTGCAGGGCCAGTAACAGTTTTTACCTTGGTGTTGCTGGCGTTACCACTTGTTATGACTGCTATAGGTAAGTCTCGACCTGACCCTTGTCACACAATTAGCGACAGTTTTGTACTACAGAATGTGTGGCTGGCAACACGAGCCGACTACGGCCTTACATTCTTTTTCTTTTTCTGCCTTTGTAACCCCCAATGGAGCTTAGGTCCTCAACTCTCACACCAGTTCGTTTTAGCCTTCGCTTTCGCTATCCCCATGTCCTTCCCATCTATTTAACTTCACTTTCTAGCTCCCTTCTTCATGTGCGGTTTTTCTTTTTTCTTTTTTTTTTTTTTCCTGGTCTTTAATTATTTCTGTGCTTTGTGGGTTCCAGTGCAAAGACATTCTAATTATATAGTCCTGAGGTTTTCTCAGCGAGTACCATGTCATACGCCAGCGTCTTTTCTTCACCTCTTGATCCACTGGAACTTATTTAGTCTTCTCCCAAAGCTCTACATTAGTGATTGTATCGTACTATTTAATTCCCTCGATTCTGCGTGTATTTTTTTTTTTTTTTTTAACGTATCCAGAAACCATGAGTTGTAAACCCTTTGGCTCGGTACTATGGATATCGCAACCCTTCGGTCCCGATTCCATTATAGGTACCATCAATCTGGGAGAAATTTGGCTTTTCTGCCTACCCCCGGGAGTGAACCCGGACCACAAGGAGTTCGTCACCCGGCCGCCGCGAAAGTCAGGTTTAACCAACTTCGCTAGAGAGCCGGGCATTCTGCGTGTATAAGTATTTGTTATAGTTGTTCTCCATGTTTCAGCTTCATACAGCAGTACTGATTTTTTCTGCCTTTGTAACCCCCAATGGAGCTTAGGTCCTCAACTCTCACACCAGTTCGTTTTAGCCTTCGCTTTCGCTATCCCCATGTCCTTCCCATCTATTTAACTTCACTTTCTAGCTCCCTTCTTCATGTGCGGTTTTTCTTTTTTCTTTTTTTTTTTTCCTGGTCTTTAATTATTTCTGTGCTTTGTGGGTTCCAGTGCAAAGACATTCTAATTATATAGTCCTGAGGTTTTCTCAGCGAGTACCATGTCATACGCCAGCGTCTTTTCTTCACCTCTTGATCCACTGGAACTTATTTAGTCTTCTCCCAAAGCTCTACATTAGTGATTGTATCGTACTATTTAATTCCCTCGATTCTGCGTGTATTTTTTTTTTTTTTTTTTAACGTATCCAGAAACCATGAGTTGTAAACCCTTTGGCTCGGTACTATGGATATCGCAACCCTTCGGTCCCGATTCCATTATAGGTACCATCAATCTGGGAGAAATTTGGCTTTTCTGCCTACCCCCGGGAGTGAACCCGGACCACAAGGAGTTCGTCACCCGGCCGCCGCGAAAGTCAGGTTTAACCAACTTCGCTAGAGAGCCGGGCATTCTGCGTGTATAAGTATTTGTTATAGTTGTTCTCCATGTTTCAGCTTCATACAGCAGTACTGATTTTACATTTAAACAATTTGTTGTATGGTTTATTTGTTGGTAGACACAACCATGATGACCGTAAAATTGGGCATAACATAACATGCCACGTCATTATGTTTAAGAAGTCATTATTTTAAACTGTAGTCTCGGAGATCAGTCTCGTTGCACAGGATGTGATCACGTATTGCTCATTGTCTGTTCACTGGACCGATTTGTCAGCTGTAGAGAGAGTCGCACAAAGCATGAACCTAGCTCCAGCGACGATACACAGGGAGCTCTGTAAAATCACTGCAGCTTTGAAGAAGATAACAGAAAATAAAGTTATCAGAGGAATTATAGTGTCTGATTCTCAATCAATTGCCAAAGGTTCAGAACAGACACCTGTGGATGAATGGGTGCCAAGAATCTGTACGTTAACAGTACAGGGACTAACGTGGATACACTGTCCGGGATATGCATAGTGAGAGGGAAGGAAAGGGCTGACTTTCTGGCTACAATACCGTAGCTAAGGAAACAGTCATACTGGAAAATAAAAAGACATTATGAAGACTATTTGTTAACGATAGAAGACACTTGGTTAGATAAAACTGTATGAGTAAGAAAGCGTGAATGAAACATCGGGGAGCTGCGTGGGCTCTGGGCACGGTGTCCGCCTCGAGTGCTATTGGTGCCGGGTTCAATCCCCGGTAAGGGCTGAGATTTGTTTACGTGTACGTGAGCTTGGACTTCTAATAATTTCCCCTAGACTGTGGGTAGTGCCCATGTGCATTGTTGAACACGTAAAAAATCCCTTGGTAGTTGGAAGTCGAAAAAAAAGTATCCTTACGGCGCTTCCCGGGCAAAAGTTAAAGTTAAAATCTACCCAAAGTATTTCAGGATCCTCGCCGGTACTACAGAGCCTGTGCTTTGTGCTGAGCTTCTTTGGACTCATACTTTAGTTAGAAGAAGAACGGAGCACTTATAGGTTACTACCCGTGTGCCATGATGTTGATCGGTTGTTCGAACCTCAAACCCCACTCTTCTTGCCACTAAAACTTGTGTATCTTCCCTACACGTACATTTCGAGTTTTAATTAGCTTTCCCAGCAATCGATAATCATTCTCTTGTCTTGTCTTGTCTTGTCTTGTCCACAATTGCCTCACAGCGTAGTGGGGAGTCGCAGTTTTCTATCCTGGGCCAGGTGTGTTGCACGTGTTGTTGTTAGTCCGTGTTGCCTCAGGATCTCTGATATATTGTCTATCCATCGTACTCTCGGTCTGCCTCTTGCTCTAGGGCAGTAGTGCTGTTCGTAATCATTCTCTTTGTTGGAGAAATTGGCAATATCGTGTCAAAAGCTACATTCCCTTCGCTTCTACGCTTTGTTTATTGTCTTTTTTTCCGAATGTGATTCAATGCATTACAAAAGTAAAGTAAGTAAAGAAGGCCGTCGTAATGCTGACCACATTACCCATCTAGTGCCGATTGGTCTGTAAAAAAAATGGGACGCTCTTCCCATACACCACTTGCGCCTAAGGCGTGAAAAGGGATCTTTACTTTACTTTACTTACAACTTAACAGATTCAGTTTATCATTTATGTATTCCCTGTCTAACATTCAATGAACAATTTATTTCATTAACTATTTTTCATCATCTGAAATGCAACTTTGGCTTATCTATCTACTCTTAATTATTTAAAATGTGTATATGCATCTTGCTTCTTTTATGTGATTGCAAATAGTATGTGAAAATTAATTTGATTAAGCACTTTGTATTTTCTGGTGATATCACATTTTGCTTTTAAAATATAAATTGAAAAAAAAAAAAAAAAAAAAAGCATTTCAGTTTTCAGAAGCCGAATATAAAAGTTAAATGTAAAGATTTGAGAACAAACGCTACAACACAGGTTTCCCATTAGTCTTAGTCCAGGTTTTGCCACTACAATCGGGTTTCCCCATATTTGCCCCGTTCGTGTGCCAGTGCAAATCAAATGAAATGTCTCTCACTGTGGTATTTGAAAAACTGGTGAACGAATGGTTAGTCCAGGATCAGTTCAGAAATATGGGCACAATGTAAATGTTAGAGGCGCTAAAGCCAACAGTCGCCACCAGAAATGCAGTTTGTCGTTAATGTCGGGCACGATACGTTTGCTATACATACGTAGAATTATTACATAACGTATTTCACCAGCTCATACCCAAACCGACTAGTGGCCATAGTGAATACCACAACACATCCGCTGCACAAATGAAAGGCATTCTACATAAAAAAACACAGCTCACAGTGCTGCATCAAGCACTAAACTCAGTAAGTCAGGCAGCAAAACCGTAGACTAAGGTTCACATGTGGAAATTACGTTAGCAAAACGCTGTCGGAAGCAAAAAATAACTTTGAAGCTTAACATTCTGCCGTGCTTAGTTCGCTATTTTACCGGAAGCCCCATAGGTATCCCATGAAAGCTCCTACTGCGTCTTTAGCGGCAAGCGCGGAAATTAATAAATACTAATAGTACCCGTTTGGAACTCGAGATTAACATCGTCAGTATTCCAAACAGTTTAAAAATAGAAATGACAGGGTAATTAACCGTATATGCGATTCTTGATTTCTCCAGGTGTCAATTATCTTCACGAGTGTCCCAGAGAACCAAAGCTGCCAATCTACCTTGTGGTTGGTGGCTGTTTCGGCATCATAAAACTTATCTTCGTCCTGTGGAAGCAAATCAAGAGGCACCGAGATGATGTCATAGATCTCCATGACGACGAAGACTTACTAACAATGACGCGCATGACAAACATGGCGCTAAACGTCTTTCTGTCTGTCTGGTTTGTATTCGGCCACTACTGGCTTATCCGAATATGGAAACCTCATTTTGAAGCCCCTCTACATGAGCCTCGGAACTGGTGCGATGAGGCGGTGTTTCTGTTTACTTTCTGGCAGCTGGTGATCTGCCACATTATTATTGGCCTAGTGATCCTAATGGCGATTGTCTTGTACTGTTGTTACGTTTGTGTGAAGTGCTTCGTCCACACCCATCATCAGACACAACAGACTCACCAAGCACCACAACAACAGCAGCAACAACAAAAGTCAGACCCCAAGAGATGACCTAAAGCTACCGAATTACATTTTTCAAACATTTTTTGCTCAAATTGTAATCACGGGTGCAGAAACACACGCCTAGACATTCGTCTTATCTGCTGAGCCTTGTGTAATGATATTTGCCTACATGTTAAATCCAACCAAATAATTACACAAGGAATATGTAAGCGCCATGATGCCTAATCACAAATAAATACAAGTGGGGGGGGGGGTGATGGGCGCTATGTTTACTAAAGTGTAAAAGACAGTCACTTAATTTAATCAGTACTTTAATTTTTATTCACCATACACAAAGTAAATTCAAGAGTGTCTGGGAAAGTCTAAAATTCTAGAGGTGTTATCGGTTGGGGTTATGAGTAAGGTTAGGAGCTTTGTCAGCTTTAGCCGCCTCTAAGACNCTGTCGGAAGCAAAAAAAAATTTTTAAAGTTTAACATTCTCCCGTGCTTAGTTCGCTTTTTACGGAGCCCCATGGGTATCCCTGAAACTCCTATGCTCTTTAGCGGCAAGCGGGGAATTAATA